ATCCGGCACCCATGTACATGCGTGCCATCCCGCGAGTAAGGCTACACTAATCCATGGTATAGCACTACCGGCTTGCCCAAACTGATTCCCCTAACCCAAGGTTACGGCTTCCATGAAGACGTGATACAACACTACCCGAAAGAAGACGGGTTGGATGTTCTCACTCGCAAGCCATTTGATGGAGAATGCAGGTTATTTTTGGCTATGCCCCTTTTCCACGTGAGTTCTGCCCCGATCTTGAGAGTCGTTCTGTTATTATCGATAGGTATCCAGCTGCTAATAGTCTCGTATACCATAGGCCGGCGGAGTCCTACTAGGTCTCCTGAAATCACTTTATCACGACATTGTCATGGTGTTTCAACCTCCAGCCGTTCCACTGAGTGCTCCAGTCGTCGATGGGATTCTTCGCCACGGGAAGTGTGATGGCACCGTCATTCCCCCATTTTTGGTTGAGGAGATGCTGAGTGTTCCTGAATATTTCGACACTCTTGCCATGCTTAAATTCGTGCAGTTCGGCTCTGGACCCTTGAGCAAGTACTGTGGTGACACTTTACTCACGCGCCAGAAGAGCTGCCCACATTTCATTGGTACTACGGAAGTCGGTCTGATTCCTCTGCTCGAACTGGAGGATCCAGAACAGGAGTGGCAATATTTCCACTTTCACAAGTGGAGCGGGATCGATATGAGACCGATCGATGATTCCGGCAGCCTCTGTGAGCTTTTCATCAAGAAAACAGACGTCAATGTTCCTGGACTGCAGCCTGTCTTCGAGCTCTTTCCCCACCTGAACGAGTGGGCAACAAAAGACCTCTACGTGCAACACCCTGAAAAGCCGTATCTGTGGCGTACCCGCGGTCGGGCTGATGATGTGATTGTTCTATCAAACGGTGAGAAGCTGAATCCCGTTGACACCGAGTCACTTATTGCAAAAGCGCATCCTGTCATAACTGGCGCGCTGGTCGTTGGGCAGGGACGATTCCAGCCGGCACTGCTTCTGGAAGTCAAAGGCATAGATCTCGACAAGGAGAGCGAGAAAAGGGGCTTGTTGAACGCCATTTGGCCCACCATCGAAGCCGCCAATAAGACTGCCCCCAAGCACGGACAACTCACGGCACCTTTAATACTCTTTTCATCGCCAGAGAAGCCATTCCTTCGCACGCCAAAACTCAGCGTCAGAAGAAAGCCAACGGTAGATCTATATCTGAAAGAGATCGAAGCATTATATCGCCGAGTAGAGACAGAGGCAGACAACATTGACCTCAGTGATGTTCCAAAGAATGTTGACTTCAGTGACCGGAAATCAGTTCAAGATTTTGTGCAACACCTTGTGAGAAATGTAACTGGGTGGACCACCGATCCTTCCCAGGACTCTGATTTGTTCATGCAAGGGATGGATTCACTCCATGTTGTCCGTATGGTTCGAGCCATAAAAGCAGTGGTGAGGAATCCTGTGAGTCTCGATCGAATCGCCGAATTAACTTCAACAATTATATATAACAACCCAACAATCGACTCCTTATCGCAAGCATTGAACGACATAGTTCAGAGCTATACTGCGAACGAGAGATCCAGTTCAAGCAAAGACCAAGATGGTCCCGTGAACCAAGATCGCGAGAGCAGGATTCAAGACATTATTGACAGATGGACACAAAACTGGGACTGCCCGCCCGCGATTCTCAGTAATGGTACGGAGCACCAAATCTCCGAAACTACCAAGAGCGATAACACCGACGTTGTTGAAAAGAAGGCTTGGACCGTTATCTTGACAGGCTCAACAGGATCACTTGGATCACACATTCTCGAAAAACTTCTCCGTCATCCATCGGTTTCCAAAGTTGTCTGCTTGAATCGGTCCGCCGATGCAGAAGCAAAATGGAAGAAGACAATTCTGAACCGGAATCTGTCCACAAGAATGTCAGATCCCGGACGTGTTCAATTCTTCCAGACAACAAACATGGGAGCACGCTGCCTGGGTCTCGAGGAAAACGTGTACCAGGACCTGCTTCAGTCCGTCACCCATGTTATTCTGAACGCTTGGCCAGTGAATTTCAACCTATCGGTCGTTTCTTTTGAGAAAGTCCATATCGCAAGCGTTCGTCGGTTTGCAGACTTCAGCGTTCGGTCGTCCAAGAGTGCACACATTGTCTTTGTGTCCAGTTTGTCTTCGGTGACATCCGGAGGTCTCAAGCAATCAGTTCCGGAGAAGATCGTCCGGGACAATTCTTTGCCGTCGCACATGGGCTATGGCGAGTCAAAATACATTGCAGAACGAATTCTTGACGCCGCGACGACAGCCTCACAAGGTCGTGTGCCCACAACGAGCCTCCGTGTTGGCCAAATCGCCGGACCCGTACCGACTACAGATTCTGCGGGAGACAATGCGACATTGGAGGTTTGGAATGTCCAAGAATGGTTCCCCAGCTTGATCATTAGCTCGGACACGTTGCGAGTTTTGCCTGATACGCTCGGCCGCATGGAGAAGATCGACTGGATACCTGTGAATACACTTGCCGAAATCACCATTGAGCTATTGGAATTCGACAACGAGGAGGTTGAACGCCGGAAGCACTCTGGGGGAGCGGACTGTCTTTTGACTTCACGCGTTTACCATCTCATCAACCCGACGAGTGTAACTTGGCAACAAGACATCCTGCCTGCTGTGCAGGACTTGCTCGGAATAGACAAGGTGGTTCCATTGTCAGATTGGATTGAGCTGGTAGGCTCAAGGCCAGCCCTCGATGCGGGAACCAATGCCACGACCAATCCTGCAGCCAAGATTGTGCCTTTCTACGAGAGCCTACTATTGAGACGAGACGAAACCCTGGCAGATGCCCCGAAGTACCAGACTGAGCAGACCCAAAAGAGCAGCTCGACCTTAAGAGAAATAGGGCCCGTGAGAGTAGAATGGGTGAATCAATGGTTAGGTGGTCTGCATTTGAAGGAGAAGAATGGCTCGGTATTATGAGAAGACCACATGAGTGTCCTGCACCGTTCGTCCAAACCGATCTTCTCTATGAGGTTTCCTAAAGATGGGTGGCCCAGAGGATTTTCCAAGGCAGAATGTAGAGTTTTCATTGAGCAACCCATGTAAGGATTTCTAAAAAGGTCGTATGATCGGCTTAGAAGGAACCAAAAGGTATTGGGATATAATCCGATCTGAAAAACGTCGCTGTTGAGTTTTAGGCATCACCCGTTGCTCGATCACGGGGCTAGAAGGCCAGTCAAAAAGCGAATCCATCCACTTTATAACTTTGACCCACTGACAAGCGACGCACTTCCCGACCGGAGTCTTTCTGCTGCGACATCCACGATTTCATCCACGATCTCCCTTGCGCTGCTTTTATGGTTCACCACGCCAGCAACGACGCCCATGAGAAAGGGGTGTAGATTGTCCAGAACCTCTTCATCGTCTGGGCGTTCCTCGGCATCGTGTTGGACCGGGAGAATGCCTTTGTCGGTCAACGCTTTGATCTCGTGCTGTCGTTTGTCTTCCCAGTTGAGGATGTATGGAGTTTTGCGTATCCGCAACGGTCGCCCCTTGAAATTGTTTGTTAGTCACCTTCCAAAACCCGTCCAACATCTTTGGGCAAAAAATGTAACGTACCGAAAATATCACGCTCCTCATGGTATCGTCGACGGTCGCACTCAAGACCGCGTCCTGGTGGGCCTTTGACGCTCCGGCTTCGTTGGCGACGATGAACCTCGTTCCGACCCAGACGCCGGAAGCCCCCAGCATAAGAGAAGCAGCCAAACTCTCACCGCCGGAGACCCCTCCGGCCGCCACGAGGAGGACGTCGCGGCCGGTCATGGGGCTTTTCTTCCCTTTGAGCAATTTTGCCACGGCCGGGATCAGCACAGAAAAGGGAATGTCACCAGTGTGGCCACCAGCCTCTCCTCCTTGGGCGCACAGGATATCCACATCGACACACTTTTCGACATGCTTCGGGTGTCCGATCATGTTCATGTACAAGACTCCGCCGGCGTGGAGACGTTCTATCGCCTGTCTCGGAGGAACCCCCACCGCAGAGACGAAGACGCGGGCTTTTGACTCGACGACGACATCAATAAGCTCCATCAATTTTCCCTTTGTGTAGTCGTAGCTTTTTTTTTCAAACAGTTTTCGTGTCAGCAATCTCGAAACGCGGCGGTGACTGGTCTGTGTGGGGGAAGAAATAGGGCTCGACGGATCGTTCCACAACACTTACTTTGTCTTGCGTGCGTTTCCTCCCACCTGAGGGAGTAGGATATCGATGCCAAAAGGTGCGTTCTTGTCGATCAAGTATGACTTGAGTTCCTCGACTTGTTCGCGAAGCCCATCTGGACTGTATCCGTGACCTCCGATGACGCCGATGCCACCGGCATTGGTGACGGCGGCCGCCAACCTCGGGCCTGCAGCTACCCCCATGCCAGCGAGCATGACTGGGTGATTCACACCAAACAGGTCCGTCAAAGGAGTCCTTATCTTCTCTACGGTGACAAGTCAGCAGTAGTAGGAGCGAGCGCGCCATTTGCGCGTTGGCTATCACCTACGTGGGGAGCTCATCTTTGCCAAACCAATTCTCGGCTTTCAACGGGAGATGCTTGACTGCCAGGGGTCGAGGAGAATTCGAAAAAAGATAATCAATCACTCGAGTCTGCCACCAACCACATTGGTAGTGTGGCCATCTTGTAGTGGTCACGAATCCGTGGTTCACAATTGCCTCGGGTCTTCTGAGAGCTGTATTTGGAGCTTGCTGATCAAGTTGCGGGTCCGGGGTTGTCCTGGAGGTACTCCCGGTACCCTTCTAGGTAGAGAGGGGGCATTTATACCTCGGAACTACAATACTCGTAGCTGTACTCTGCAGTTCGGCATTTAAAGCCCAATTATTCCGTTTGGTAGAAGCTTTGGCGACACTGGACGGCGATGCCCGCATTAGGGATATTCGGGCTTTTGGATCCATCGAAACATACCATCATCATGCTTCTAGCAACAGAACTCTTACATTTTCCAAGAAAACATTCTACATCTTATGGATCACCCCGCTCCTCACGGGCTTGATGAATGCCCGACCATTTGTGAGGACTTCCTTCCCGTTTTCATCGTTTTGAACGGCGAACCTGATGTCTTCAAATCCACTCGAATCATAGTGACCAAGCCTCCAGACCTGAACGGTCGCTTTATCTCCGGGGTTCAATGGAGAAGCAAACTTGGCTTCGAACGTCTTGATATTGGCAGCCTGACTACCACCTACCACCACCAACACGGCGTAGAGGGTCGCGTTGTACGTCCAAAGGCCATGGATGATGGCTCCTTTGAAGCCCATTTGACGTCCAGGTTCGGGAATGGCATGAAGTGGATTTGTGTCTCCGTTCAGTCTAAATTACCGTGAGCACTTTTTCTCCGTATGCTCAGCAGGCCTGCCTTTGGGCACTCACCTGTACAACAGTGGAGTCTCCTGGGTAGTAATCAGAGGATATGTCAAGTCGGGGTGACGATTGGGACGCGTGAGAATTTCCGCCGACGGTCCTGAAAAGAATAGTCTCAGTACCGAGTCAGACTCACTAGAGGGTGGCCTGGCCAGCCTAGCGGTGTAGATAAGATTTCCTCCCCCAGGGTAGGACTTTGGGATCTTCACCTTTAGGACCTCCCCATCCACCTTGTCCAATGTAGAAATTGTTTCCAACGACTCTCGTGTAGACGTCATTGGTCTCAACGTCGACAAGGTCGGTCTCTGTTTGCACCACCGTTCCCGCTCTTTTTCCCTTGTCGTAAACACCAATGACTCGCATTCGCTGTTCAAATTGGCGGCCCGCAGACGTCGGAGGTGTCGGTTTCAGGAACGAGATGCGTTTGCCCCCGTCGACCATGCGCTTGATGTCGAGCTTGGGAACTCCTGGGATCGGCGCCCCCGCGCTGTTCTTGTCGAAGTTGCTGTAGAAATCCACGAGCTCGTTGTTTTCTCCCTTTTGAGCTTTAAGCTCTCGAAAAAGGAAATGAGCGAGCGGACCTTTACCACAACACAGCAATCAATCTCATGAGAAATTTCACTTACAAAGCACGGTCGAAAATGATGGAAATACTTGAAAATCTGGGTGTAACTCCTGGATAATGCCCTCATGTTAGTGGGCTTTGGAAAGGCAGGCTGTGTGGTCACAGACCACAGAAAATACTTGCGTAGAGAAGGTGAATGTCAGCAGCTTTCACGCCAATGGAATTTGCAAAAAGTAGAACATCGCGTTTTTGCCATGCGACCCTTTTTGAGGGAAACCGAAATCCTAACCAAGGTTCTTGCCCCATTGTTCCCAAATTCTTGGTGAGCAGAGGGAGGAAAATCAACATGTGCCTAACATATAGCTTTTCTAAAGGGGCATTCAAACCATTTTAAAAGCATCTGCTGCACTCCGAAGACCTTAACAGCCTCGACTAGACCGGAATAAATATGGTTGACTATTCCGCGCATCACGTAGCCGGCTGTCGTTCAATGTATTCCATCAGATGCTCTCCTTGTAGCGTTGCATCTGAAATTTCATAAACGACTTGACAACAGAAGAGCATGGGACCTGCTCACAACACGACCGTGACATGTATTTCGGGCTACACATTTTATTCACTTGTTGCTAGTATTTGAGCATGTTAAAAGTCGCTTGCCCCCTAGACATGGCCGTTCACTTCCTCGCGCGGCCTTATATTTCTTGAACCCGGAGGCGGATTTAAGAAATATCTGTACGAGTTTAGACAGGATAGACAGCAGCCTTGGATGTGAATCGGAACAACTTACGTCAAGTCAGCTTTTCCCCCATTGTAGAATGCTTCATCCTCTTCGATTGTAAACCCATTCGCAAGCCAGGCAAAAGCGAGATCTGGATTTGGACTTAGGCTGGTCCAATCAAAATCTTCATACCGAGGAGTTCTCAGCAGCTTAAACATATGTAACCTCGAGCCCGGGTGAAGAGACACAAGTTTGCCGTCGACTGTCCCGTTCTTGAATGTGCTCGCACAGTTTGACGCCCATACCGTGCGGTCAAGCCAGGCGAGTGATTGCTTCTGATATGCTCTGGGGATGTGGGGCTTTGGGCACACAGACGAGTAATTCTGCGTTTGTAGTTTTCGTACGAGGTCGCATATATATGCAGCGACGAATTCGATGGAAGGGATGAGGCTGCCGTGACCGAGGGGGCTTGCGGGGCCGATGACTGTAAAATAGTTGGGCATATCTGCTGCAGTCACAGACAGGTATGACTCCGGATTGTTTCTCCAGCTGTCTTGTAGATTAACTTCGTTTCTCCCTATGATTGGGAATCTTGGTACACAGGAAAGATCAAATCCCGTGGCACATATGACGGCGTCAACTTTGAATTCGGCACCGCTCGCAATGCGCAGCCCGTCTGGAGTGAAAGCAGCAACGTCACCAAATACGACTTCGCATTTGTCCGAGCAAAGAGCTTCGAGATATCCATTGCCTGGGGTCGGGCGTCGGCATCTGTAGTTGAGTTAGTCTAACCTCAGTGGAAGCATAGGTGATACATCTCAACTCACCCAACTTCCCATGTCGGCAAGAGAAGTTTTGCCAGCTCCACCTTTCCACCCTCAGTCAATTTCCGAGTCATTTGTTCAGTAGAAAACTTGCGTGCCGCTTCTTGAATCTTGGAGCCTGCCATGTACAGGCGAAACCTCGAACTCATCGAATCCTCTACTTCCTTTCGGTATTGAAGGTACTCCTCAGTATTCTCCGCCCATTGTCTTTTTTGTTCCTCGCTAAATACCAGATTACTGCCATTCGGGCCAGCGAATTTTTCCGCAAGGCCCGTTGTTACCCAGGTCGCACTGCGGATATGCACATAGACCTTTTGTACGCGATCGATGATGGCGGGCAAGATCTGAATGCCACTACTACCGTTACCAATCAATGCCACGGTTTTGCCATCAAGGCTCTTCTCTGCGTCCTTCGGCCAAGCAGCCGAGTGCAACATATCTCCATGGAAGCTTTGTCGCCCTGGAATGGCGGGCCACTTCCAATTGTTAAAAAATCCAGCGGCGTTGATCAGAATATCGCAGTCAGTATTGATCGTTTCATCGGTTTCTCCTTCAACGACTCCAGGGCTAGAAATCGCGATCTCCCTGCCGTCCATTTTCTGCACCGTTACCTGCCATCGCTGTTTCACTTCGTTCCACTCAGCATTTGTGACTTTGTGACATAGATTAACATATTTCTTCAAGTCATTCTGCTCTGCAACAGACTGAACGTAGTTGTATATGTCGTTCCGGTCGGCGTAAAAGCTTTTCCAATGTGGATTAGGTGCCCAAGAAAACTGTACGATTTCTCATCAGTGCCTGGATTTCCGTCATCGACAGTAGCGCCAGTGTGTGCGTCAAGACTTTGGTGACAAAGCCGGTTCTCAAGACGAGAAAGGAGGCTCCCTTGCGACTACAGATTTATTTCGAAGGGGCCCAATGGAAGACCTACCTGGTAATTATGGGCCGGAATATCGCAGGCGCACCTACCCCTGTGTCAGCGAGGAAAGGTAGCAAAACGACAAGGAAGCGTGACGGGGTGAGTATGGCATGTGTGGATTGGACACGTACCCTGGATATCTGTTCTCGAACCAGGTTCCTCCGATCCCAGAGTCCTTTTCATATATTACTAGCTCGGCTCCCGGCAGGGCACCAGACTCCACAGCGTGTGCGATCTCTAACCCAGCAAAGCCGGCACCTATCGCGATGATCTTGATGGGCCTTGGTGTAAATAGAGAGATCTGAGAGAGGGCGTACGCAACATCATCGACATTTCGCCAGGCCTCAGTCGCACCGCCAGAATCTGGGAATTTGTCTGCTAGACTTCGCAAGCATTTGGCTACTCGTTCAGCTGCGGTCTCGCTGTCGGTCACCATTGTGATGATATGAATTAGTGGTTTGGAAGATTCTGAAGATGATACAACACCTACGAGATATTTATCTACTAATTCTTCCTATTCCATAATTCCGCATATCTTGCGGAGAGTAATTAATTGACCATGAACAAACCGAGTCTGCATTATTTATTCCGAAACGTTCGGAGGTATCTTGCTATGGTTCCTGCCCTATTGTCCATCATTCAAAGCAGTTAATCATAGTCTCGATTTTGATTCTTTTCTGGCCAAGTCACGTAGTGGACCTTTGAGGATCTTTCCACTGGCGGCTTTTGGTATTCTACTGACAAACCTCACTCCGCCCTCTAACCGTTTATACTTGACCACCTTTGCGGCAACGAACTCCTTCACCCTTTGTTCAGTCAAAGCGACTCCGGCAGATGGTCGTGTTACCACATAAGCTCGAGGAAGTTCCGTCGCAGCTTCGGGGCTATCGATGCCAATCACAGCCGCGTCGACGATATCGGGGTGCTGGAGTAAGATTTCTTCGAGTTCAGCAGGGGCAACCTGGAAAGCATTGACTTTAATCAAGTCCTGTAGGTCCAAAGTTAGCCAATCTGCACACTATGGTACAGTTTGTTGGATTTTGCACACCTTGACGCGGTCGACTATGTACCACTTCTTTGTTTGTGGGTCGCAATAACAGATATCACCTGTTCGCAGCCAGCCTTCTGAATCTATTGTTGCGTCTGTTGACTTTGCGTCGCCCAGATACCCAAGCATGACCGTTGGACCTTTAATGCACAGCTCTCCTCTGACATCAAGTCTCCTCATATCGTTTCCTTCCTTGTCAATGAGCCTGTGAGTCTATGTAAGCTTAGTGAGAGCTTGGGGTATCAATTTGCTTACTTGGCTGACAAACCGGTCAATAGCCTCCCAATACTGCCTGTATCATCATGTTCTGGCCAGAAGAGGCATGTTCCAATCCCAGATCCTTCGGAAAGCCCCCAGATGGAAGTGCAAGGTGTATCTTTTGGGAGCAGTACTTTCAACCTATCCACGAGGGTTTTAGGCATCGCGGCACCTCCCCCGTGAACATAACGAAGACTTCTGAGTGTTTCCTTTGTCGCAAGCGGACTCCGAAGAAGTTGTACTAGCATTGGTGGCAAGACACTGACCTCGGTGATACCGAATTTGAGAACGTTCTGCAGGAAATCCGTAGTGTCGTATCGGCGCATCACGAAACACACTTCTCCGTGACGCAAAGGACAGAAGTGGTTGGAATATATGGCAGCAGTGGCAAATTGGGGGAGACATAACACTCGGCGAACCTGTAATTTCAATCAACAATCCGATACGATGTCCCAAAATCTCTTCTTACCTCGAATTCTTTCCTCTCTCGATCGTAAGCAAGAGTTATCGCAGCAACAATGTTCCTATGCGATAGAATGACGGCTTTGGGAAGCCCGGTGGTGCCGCTACTCATCACATATGCCGCAACAGTATGCTTAGAGATGCTTTCGCCGGTAAACCTGACCCAGTCGCTCTCTCCACGTTCGAGAAGTTGTCTCCACGATCGAAAGCCCTCAGAGATAGTGGGGTCTCCGTGGTCGAATATGAATATATTGCTGTGATCAATTCCGCATTTCGTCGCACATGCCTGCACCTTATTCAGGAATGCTGCCTCGGTGAAGATGAACTTGGGTTTGACTCGCTTCAGTTGGTGAATAGATTCGGTCTCACTGTAATATGGATTCGACCCACAAACGATTCCTCCGGCGGCAATGACCCCGAGGAAAAGGATCGAATAGTCGATCTAAACTCTCAATTACTTCCTGCCCATCGTCATCATAGACTTATCGACTTGCATCTGCCATTGAGTTTATAAGCACACAGTCCCCTTGCTTCAACCCTATCGCCTGAAATCCTTTCACTAAGCGTCGCACGGCGGTACGTGCCGTTCGCGTAGAATACCAGCGAGATTGGTTAATGGCGTCGATGTATATCTGCATGAGTAGAACGAGAAATTCAGGTCAGCCCTGACTGCAGCTCTCCAAGATTCGGGGGCAGGGAGAGTCGATCTGCTCACTTTCTTGTCGACATCATGCTTTGGATTATCCAACACGAAGGACGCAACGTCCTTGGTAGAAATCAGAGCGTCAGGGTGCTGATCGAGCATCATAATCGCGAGTGGCTGAGCGATGCAATTGGAATTGCTCGTGTTGTCACAATTGAATCACCAAAGCTTTTCAAAAATAACAAGAGAGAGAGGGGCCCGCGGTGCTGTCGAGTTGGCCCGGAATGAAGTCCCCTTTTTTCCGACCGACTGATCATCACCTTGAAACAATAGTTCTCCGTAAGTTGTGTCCTCACCAGAACTTCTTCCTCACTCCACAATTCTTTTCTATACTAACCTTGCGATCAATACCGTAGGACAAACATGGCGGACCTCAAAATGATGTCGTTCTCTGATCTCCTGAAACAGGTGCAACAGATGCCGACAAAAGGGTTTCCTCCCGATAGCTGGTACATAATTGTGGTAAGTAGCGGCAACCTTGGTATCTTCTCTGATGCTGCTTTGAGTATCTATACACTCTTAATGACGATGACTTAGGCCACCTCGTTAGCCGCAGCTGGCAAAGGTGACAGGTTTGGGGATTTATACCGGTATGCACTAGAACAGGCAGAGTTTGACGAGTCCTATCGCCGAAGTCTTTCGATTCGGCTGCGAGAAGTCATCATCAAATCATGGACATTGATCGGCATGCCCCGTGCTATCGCTGCGTCTTACAGCCTCCAAGCCGCAGACCAGAAGGATGACGAAGCTGGTAACATTCGGAGAGCCAAGCTCGTGAACGAACCGGATCTACCATTACAGCGCTCACAAATTTGGTTCAAGCAAGCTTTTCAGGACCTTGAGCAAAAAATATTTTCACGATTCAATCATCACAGCGAACTAGGTCAGTGTATCTGTTGTTTTTATCGAACTTTGCAAAGCTGACCATATTTGTAGAATGGACATTAAAACACATCGTTTATGGATACTTTCTAGGGGATTTGAGTGTACTCAGTCCGGTCGAAAATGAGTTCGTTGTTCTTGCCAGCGTTCTGCCTTCTGGAGGTTCGCCCGTTTTAACGCATATGAAAGTACTTCGACAATTAGGAGTATCTGCAAGTGACGGGAATGTTTTTCTGGAGATCTGCAAGAAAGTATCAGAATGGGCAAGGTTAGACGTCAGTAACTGGCCTTCCTACAATACAATCGAGCTATGAAGAGGCGGGAGCAAAAACGTAGTCCTCCTATACGAGATGGTAAAAAACGATCAAAGTAAGGAATCAGACGACCTCAAAATGTCAAGGCATTGATTACATGATTGAAATTCGGCCTACGATCCATACACAATGGAGACTCCTGCTCGGTGCCTCCGCTGTGGAATACCTCGGAAAGATTGTACCAAACCGAGGACAGATAGAACCGTTCCACTCCCTGCTTTCAAGCATTTCCATACTTTCAAAAAACCATGTTACCATGAGATATTGACCAGTATCGGACAACTTAATATTCCAGCGATGACAGAAACTCGCCTTTCGCAGTTTGTTGGACATTTGATCCCTCCACGCGGGTATCTCACAGGTCAAACGGCCATTGTTACCGGTGCTGGTCAGGGGATTGGTGCTGCCATTGCCGAATTCTTTTTCAACGAGGGAGCGAAAGTGGTCATCTCGGACATTGATGCAGGTAGGTCAGTTCTTTTGAGTATATCAACCAGAGCTTAACTTATCGCTAGGTAAGGCGAAGGCTGTGGCAGACAAGCTCAACGCTTTGAATAATGGGAAGGCATTGGCTGTGCCAGGCGATATCACAGACGCCAACACGACTCGCCGATTAGTGCAGGAAGCTGCGAAGTTTGGGAATGGAAAACTTCACATCATTGTAAACAATGCAGGCTACACTTGGGATGCAGTGGTTCATAAGGTATTGATAAACAGTCCTTTACAGCATGTTTTGGCTGGGTTTTCTCTCGTTAACTTCTGAAGACCAGTGATAAGCAGTGGGAGGCAATGGTCGCTATCCACGGCACAGCGCCATTCAGAATCATTCGAGAGGCTGCTCCATACTTCCGTGTAAAGGACGGTGAACCTCGAAGTATTGTCAACATCAGCAGTGCAAGTGGAATACACGGCGCAGCGTAAGTGATGATGGTTTTCACCTGGAATCAATGTTCTCAGCAACAACGCCTAATATCCCCTGGGTTTCTAGAGGACAAGCAAACTATGCATGGGCCAAAGCTGGTCTCGTTGGCCTTACAAAAACAATATGCAAGGTTAGCAAGTCTTTAATGCTCGCAGCAGCCATTCTTATTTTTGCTTACCGTTATTTAAAAGGAATGGGGCCCTCAATTCGGTGTCCGAGCCAACACGTGGGTTCCTTCACCTTCGTCCACAGCATATCATCGAGGTTGATACTAATAAATAATAGAGTATCCTTTGGGGCCGTGCAAACGCGATTAACCACCGGGAAAGATAAAGGCAACAGCATCACTTTGTCAGATGGAACTGAAGTCGCACTTGGAATTCCTGGAGCTACGGAAAAGTCGTCGACCGGTAACCGCTATGCTGATATCCCACTGCAGAGAGCGGCAACACCATTTGAAGCGGCTGCAACAGTCCTTGCCATTGTGAGCCCATTGATGAGTTATGTGGATGGACAAACCATCGAGGTTACTGGCGGAAAATGGATATAGGAGCCTCTACATACCTAGGTACAGCTGTAACTCGTCAACAGTGATTGTAGCCTCAGGATCCAAATAATGACAATTGATGTACCCTGCCATCCGCATGAAGATGATAGTATTGGGGCTTGAGCTCGGGGGAGGCATGATCCTGTCCCCTCTCCCTTCGGTGGCTCAGCCTCGGCACCCAGCAAATCGGTTCTCGTACGTTCCGACCGCGACAAAATGGTCGTCCAAAACATAGTTGCCACGTGCTCGGAATGACTTTGTTCCTCGGAAATATGGTTGTTTGGCTTGGCCTACTCGCCTGTGCTAGCCTAGCATAATGTAATGCTTCCACAGATGTCGTGTGAGATTTCGTCCCTGAGCGAGCCGTCGTCGCGCTCAAATATTCGGTAGGGGCCCTCCAAGCGCCGATTTTCAACCACTGGACTGGCTTCAGTTTATCGTTAAGATGGGTAGGATTGTAAAGACAGGCAAAGAAGCCTGCGAGGCTGTAACGGCTTTGATGGAGACGTAAGATTGCCACTGGCTGCCGATGTCGTTGAAGCTGACCCGTACCCGCCTCAAGATATCATCAGCGCATGAGAGAGAGAAACTTCCATGTATTCAACCCTTCCAAGGTCCAACAAGAGCGACGCCAGCTCAGAGTATCGCGTTAACCAGTGTGAAACCAAGTAACAGGGATTCGAGAAGGTAGTCATGGACAACCTTCGCGTTGAGGATGTCGAGGACGACGGCACAGTCGTTTTCAGCCTCTTTCTGGGACCCGAGTTCCTTCACGTCGGAGGTGAGACGAAGCAATTAGCGACCAGACTTGAGTGCTGTCGGGAAGAGGACTCACAAACATTCACAGGTTCGCTGCATGGAGGAGCAGCAACGCTCATCCTCGGTACGCGGCCGTCTATCCGGGGCCATATGAAAAGAATCACCCTTTTAAACTGACCCACGGTGGCAGACCAGTGCACATCACTGTCGATAGCGCCTCACGCTGCTCCTGGCTACTGGGAGTAAGTGTCATGCCCCTGATTCACGAACGATCCAGTGATGCAAGACTACCATCTTTGACACCTTCTTGCATTAGATGGAGTGGCGGCGTGACGCGGACGCTTTCTGTCACTTGCCTTCGAGCACCCCCTGGACGTGGGTTTACCACATGCTTTCTCTTCCTTGAAAGAAGGTTTGGCTAAGAAGTATATCATATCCTCACTAAACAGATACTACTGTGAAAATTCGCTGCAAAGTAATCTCTATCGGTCAGACGGCAGCACTTGTTCGAGGCGAAATTGTATCGGATGATGGGAAAATTGTCTACGATGTCCTTGACCACAACAAAATCAACGTGCGGCTGAAACCGCGGGTTCCGGGATCTAGGCTTTGAACTAAGAACTGGGAAAAACCATCAGAAGTTGTGGAATTTGTAAATGGGAGAATCAGAAAGCGTATACATATTAAGTCCGGAAGGAATTAATGCATCAACACCGACTATAGATCATCTGCTCGGCATCCCAAATTCCCATGTCATTACTCAAAGGCCCTTCCCTATCTAGATCTGACCCAGGAAAGTCCGGCAGCACAAATTGAGAGTCGATAGAGAACAAGTCAACATCATAAAAGTCCGTGTCTTGAGCATGATCTCTCTGCCGAGATTCTACGTTGGTGATGATCTCCTGATCAATAGAGGGTCGATGATTTTGACAGGTGTTCAAAGATGCTCCCGTTGGCTTGTCCTGGAGGAGGGACTGCTGATTACCAACCCTAGTCTCAATGATGCCTTTCAATACTTTCAGTGCGTTTGTGGCAATTGCCAATCGGCGACAACTCAAATCATTCAGACATTCCCAGGCCTGTTCCAGTGACAAATTCTTTGTGGCTTCGAAATCATCAAAAGTGTCGATGCTGCGGCTGCTGTTGTTGTTGGTCGTCGACGATGGCATGGAAAGCATGTAGTAGAGTGATTCAATGATGCACATGGTCGCATACGTGCCAAACGATCGCTCGCGGCGTCGGGTCCGAATGTAGGAAACAATGGCCTCCACGGTGGAAGCAGCAAGCTTGTGACATATCTGGGTCGTGTAGCTTCGATCTTTGCCAGAGGAAGAAGACGAATCCAACCCGTAGTTAGGTTCACAACCTCGTAGGTGAAGATTGTTCCGAATTCACATCTGTAAGAGATTTGCCCTCTGGACTTTTTGGTTAGTGAGGGGAGGAGAATTTGCTACCTTGTTCGCTGCCGATAGTGATGACCAGGGAGAGTGTGATCGAATTCAATAGCCAAAGGAGTATATGGAAGGGGGCGGGGTGTGCTCACCGTATAAACCACAAGACTCATGCGAATCTTCCGATCTGGTACATCAGGAGGCTGGGTGCTGCCTGACGAGCTGAGTGTGTCTCTCCATTTCATTTCCGTCGGAAGCGATCTCTTGAGCTTTGCCAACAAAGTCTCCATGATTTCGATTTCTTCAACATTTCCGGCCCTCGGACTGGTCAAACTGTAAAGAGAATCCCACGCCTTTGCAAAAAGACGTCCCCAGCCAAGGTTGAATTGTAGGTAGTGAAACCAATCCACGTCGAGCGATATCCTCGTTGGCGTGGAAGTCGAAAGATGAAGGGCTGGTGGTGGCATACTTTCCATTGTCCGTATATCGGCTGTGAAGTCAGCAACCGCCACTTCGGAATCTCGAATCATGTACGGTCTTCCAAGCCGGTACGCCATCCTTCGGTCGAAGAAGTATATGGTCCACCACAGAACTCGTCTTGATCTGGCTTCTGCGATAGAACAACCAGCCCATGTGGATTCGTCATTCAAACCCAGGGCAAAGGCCAGCTCCACGGCCCTGCACAATGCCTGTGATGCCTTTCTGAAGTTTTCCCTCATCAACATGTAAAGTACCTCCAGCATGAAGAGTCGGACGGTGTCCATGATGTCGTCTGCGCTTTGTGACGCCAGGCCCAAGAGTCTTGCACTTTCTCGGTCCCAAGCCTGCCCACGGACATTCCTCTCTGGTGGAAGCTCGTTGGTCGTCGTCGTAGGAGATTGACCGTCGGCTTCAATATGCTCTGCGATGGCGAGTATCTTGCATGTCAGAGCAGCGAATACGAGTGATTCAGGTTCTCCAGCTGACAGGAACAAGCAGTCTTGATGCACCGAATAGTGTTCGAAAAGACCTTGTAGTTGAATATCAAAGCGGTCTTGATCAATGCACGGGTAGAGGTAGTGGTACTCATCGAAGAACAGATTCAGTAAGTATCTCAGGCGTGTCGATGAAGATATGAAAGTCTTGATGTCGTTTCGAATGGCCCGTGGGTGGATCCCCATTTGAGCACAATTTGAAGGAGTTCTGTTTGAGGCAGTTCCAATAGGCTCATCTCCTTTGGACATGGCAGACGGGCTCGGCGACGCGGCATTCTTCAATGTCGCTATCTGAACAGCAAACGAATTGTAAACACGATGGCCGGAGTGTATACAGTCGATGCTCTCTCGTTCGATGAGCTCTGACTCGGTCGAAATCGATGTCTCGTCGGCAATGCTCCCAGGCGAGAGCTCACTGACGTTTCGATTAGCTTGGACTCGATGACAGAATTCACGCAGAATCCTGGTGGTTGCGTCCAGACTCGCCTAGAATGTCTGACTGTTCGGAGATCTTGAACATCACGTTCTATCCGCAAGAGCCGCTCAAGTATGGCGTCCGTGTCCTTAGACAGAATTGCTGGCTGCACCTCGTAAGATATTGGAGGCCCTGTTCTGGATCGGAGTCAGTTGAGGTACTACACGCCAACATATTCACCATAGCAGTGTTTCAGCAGATCGGATACCTACATTTGTTTCTTCTGGTCTTCCTTTCTAGCACGGCCTCTCGGTCTAGGCGGCTCGGAAGGGTACACACACTTGGTTGCTGAGGATGAGCAGTTATAACATGGCTCTACCCCGTTGCACTTTATATCACAAGTCAGAGCACGTCTTCCTCTGCGAATAGCAGTGACACAGCCTACGTACCCTAACTTTCCGGCGATGACATTCCGTGCTAGACCAACCAGGTCATTCAGTCAGTCGTGCCATCTAAGTTGAATCGCCAGACACAAGTCGTCTTACCACGCCCGAGCTGTGTATTTCAGTCTCTTGCCCCTGACTTTTGCAGCACGTTCATGGTTTCTTTCGACAGCGCTTGAAGGGGAAAGTTCCGGAGATACCATCACTGTTGTATATTCGAGTTCCCACGGATTGAATTCTTGAGTGACGAGATGTTCAACGTGAGAAATTGGGAGAGCAAAGTCTGGCGGGGAGAAGAGAAAGAAAGCGGAGTTGTTCGAGGCGAGCACTTCGCCCCCGGCTTTGCGGGGTCTATTCTCACGCCGACCCCGTGTTTCTCGGCCATTGGTATCGGCAAATAGCCTAGGTCCCTGAATATCTGCTCGGCATGCTTATGGCAGATCCAACGTACATAAGTCGAATCCTTGACCGATTTAAATCCTTTCCGAGTTGCGGTTTTAATTCTACTTTTTGGACCCCCAAATTCGTAACCGGGAGACATTTGACGCAGATTCATAACATATGTGCAGCTACTCTGAACCATCATGGCGACACCAAGTGGTTACAAGTACACAGATATAGTCTTCGAAATACGAGGCCAGATTGGGATGATTAAGGTGAGATCAAGCACGAGATCGCCATTGAAGACTGTGTAAGAGGCAACCCTGACGAAAGCATACATAGTTCAACCGGCCGAAATCTCTGAATTCCCTCGGAGGAAATCTACGGATGGACATTCTGACCGCTTTGCGAGAGCTCAACGAACATCCCGACACAGTTTTTACTGTCATCACCGGTGAAGGGCGATTTTTCTGCAGCGGCGCTGATGTGTTAGGTTTGCAATTCTCTCGACTCTCATAGCGATTACATGGGCTTTTCCAGACCCTTCTAATGTGGTGTACAACCTCTAGCGGAGGGAAAGCAGACTCCAGTATCATATCCAAGTCCAGCTGCCAAAAAGGTTGCTTATATGGCTCGATTTAGTGAAGGTATAATGTTCGAATACGCGTTTCTACCAGCGAGTCGCTCACATCATACAGCCGTAGAACTCATGCGTTCAATGATCAATCATAAGAAAGTCTTGGTGGTTGCGCTGAATGGACCTGCTGTGGGTGCTGGCGCTGCATGGTTTCCCCCTGTCGCGGACATTCTATTGGCGTCGACGTCGTCCTATCTACAGACACCCTTCAGTCAACTTGGTCTGGTACCAGAATTCGGATCCGCAATTCACTTTGCGTCTTCTACCGGTGTGCACCGCAGCAACGACTTCTTCATGTTTGGCCGGAAATGTTCGGTCGAAGAACTTGCCCAGTGGGGTATTGTCAATCGAGTTTTCCCAGTCACGAATTTCCATCAAAACGTTCAGGCGTTTCTTGAAGAACAGCTTCGAGTCAATGACGGGAAAAGTATGATGGAAGTAAAGAGGCTACAGAATGGTCCACTGAGAGACCAACGCTTGCTGGCCGTTCACGAAGCTGCCGACGCATTGGCGGAAAGGTTTGTGGAGGATGCTCCAACCAAAAGATTTCAGCAACAGAGGGACATGCTTCGTGGTGAGTTTGCCCTGAAACACTGTCCGATGCAATTCACCATCCGAAAGCTGACCGACCAATAGAGAAGTCTAAGCAGAAGACGGACAAGGCTAAGTTATGAGCAACCTTGTGTCGATCTTGGTTGTGCGTAAGCGTGGCTTTGGCTAGAGGGCAGCGGGACGAGAGATGCGTCTTCCTTGTACCTAGTAACTGCGCGAGACATGTTTGTTGTCGTCAGCGTACTGGAGCAATTTTCAAGTCAAAGCCCAGCTTTAGCGAAGAGTCAGGAAACAACAGGTACCGAGGTGGGCTCTGAAGGACTACCAATCGGCCTTAAGCTTTCCGAACGATGATCCACATTTATTCCGAAAGGCATTGTGCAGCTTAAGCGTCGAAAAGACATCCCAAATTCGTCGGGTAATGACATTACTATCAGTGCAGTTCCATCTTCACCTGTTCAATACTTATCGGGTAGAATAAATGGGAGAGTGATGCGCAAAACCCAACACCTAGGGGTCAAGTGCACCATGGTGCCCCACTCAATCTGGGAAACCAGTAATTGGGTCGTCGTTCTCTACGACACGTTCCAATTGCTGTCGTGAGCGCGACGACTGTCGATAGAAGAGCCACTGGGATCCATGTCCTATCACACGGTCAGGGTGAAGCAAATTCCATTTCCTACTCGGATTCCCCTGTTAGCTTTGTGGAATTGGTTTGGTATAGAAACCTCGATAACGCTAAGACGGAGGAAAGAATTCGTTGATTGATCAGTTCAGGCGAGCCGTGAATGGCGAAACTAGCCAGTTCACTGCTTTCGTTCCATCGTTACGGTTGCGATCCCGCCTGGGCGTAAGGTACTTACTGACCAGGATGCATACGCGCGGTCGACAATTCAAAGACCTTGTCGAGGTTTAAACCTCAACCATTCAGAGGGTGTCTTTTTATATTTCCCCAGACGTTGCCCCCTATCCCAGTTTTCGGCTACACTGCCGCGATACTATGTGGCCCTTTTTCCCCAGAAAAGAGACCTCTGCGACCCCGGACATATATAGTGAAGTCCCCTCCCTCAACTTTTTCGTGATGCGAGACGTGTTGAACTGTTCACTCTCACAATGACAGACCAAATCGCTATCGATTTCCACGTCCGTGCCACACATCTCGAGAACCCTCATCCTTCCATGGAGGGTGCGACGGATCTAAAACCGGTCGCGACCCAAGCGAGTGTGGGAATCGACGGTACGGATTACCGTGAGATACTTCCCATACCTTCCAAGGATCCCAACGACCCCTTGAATTGGTCATGGACTCAAAAGCATGTGGTCTTAGTCTTGGTGGCATTTATGGCATTCCAGACGCCGTTTGATGCGGCTTCTCCTGCGTCCGGCTTCCTCGAGCAAGCTGTGGCCTTCAACACTTCGGTCCCTTCCATGCTCGACTCAGTTGGAGCGCACGCGGTTACCACTGGCGTTGGGGGTCTTTTATGGGTCCCGCTTTCATACCGCTATGGAAGGACTCCAGTCTATACAGCCGGGGCTGTGGTTGCTCTCCTTGGTACCTTGGGCTGTTCACTCTCGAATAATCTTGGGGCGTACTGCGGTTCTCGGGTATACCTTTTGCTAAACTCAAGTCTTGCATCTGACATGCTGACACAAATAGGTGGTAAACGCGCTGGGGTGCTCGGCCTCTCTGAGTATAGGGCCTTTGACGGTCAAAGATCTATTCTTCCTCCACGGTAAAGTGGTGCTCCATCATACTACATTCCTTCGTTCTGCTGACCGTGGCTCAAGAACGCGGGCAAAAGATGGGCATATGGACGGTTTTCGTTGGACTGTCACCTTACGTCGGCACACTTCTCGATGGATTCGTGACGGTCTACGCAGGCTGGAGGTGGATGCAGTGGCTGACATTCTTTCTCTGGTGTGTGTTGTTGGCCTCGTGTGTGGCGGCCCTGCCGGAGACGCTGTATGATCGCCACCACAACCTCGTCGACGTCCCGTCGAAGAAGACATATTTACAACGGCTAAAATGGATGAGTTTCCCGCGAAGGAAGCTCACCTTCCGGAGCTTCTGGCATCCATGCATCATGTTCTCCTACCCTTCTGTCATTTTTCCTGGGTTCTACTACGGTACACTCTATGGATTTTGTGTGTTTGGGGCTTTGGGCATGCTTCCATTTGTGAGTAGTCACCTAGTTGTTCCCAAGGAATCGGGGTATGTGCTTACACGCTGGTACAACAGGCATTCGCGGAGATCTATCATTTTGATGCAATTGGACAAGGGCTAATCGCAATCCCCCTCGCCATTGGCACGATCTTGGGTGAGCCCTTTGCTGGTCCGTTATCAGACTGGATGGTACGTTATCTTGCAAGGAAAAAGGACGGAAAACGACATCCAGAGCAGCGTCTTCAAGCTTATTGGCTCGGTTCAATCCTAGTACCTGTAGGTGACATGGCGACCATTTGTCGAAAGGATCAATACTGACGAGGAGTAGTTGGGGTTGATGATGTTTGGTCTCACACTGGAGTACGAAGTGCATTGGATTGGTCCTTGCGTCGCCATCGCCATCTACTCCTTCGCTATTCAGATCATATCTACGGTCACGTATGGACTCTTCTTACCTTTTCAAGATATCCTCGTCATTGTGAGATTGCCTTCAGAGTGAGCTGACGCTTCTACAGATTCGCATATGCCGTTGATTGCTACGAACATGCGGCGGGTGAGGTCGCAATCGTTCTCAACTTCTGCCGCATGACATTTTCTTTCTACGTGTCCTTCTACCTGCCTCATTACACCGAGAAGGTTGGATACGGGTGGGCATATGGGATCTTTGCTATACTTTCAGTTGTACTTTTTCTATTGGTCGTCCTGCTCATGTTCAAAGGGGGCGAGATCAGGAGTCGTCTGGGAGATGTTTCTCAATCAGAACTCGAGGTGGTGCACCAGACAGCTGCTGTCCAGGTGGACGAGGAAGGCTCGGTCACGGAAAAGAATGAGTAGCAAGGGGTAGTGGACGCCACAAGATTGGCGACCCAGTAGCCCAGTAGCTTCGCCGATTCGTTTCAGTGGCAGGTGCCTCTACACGCTAGACTAA